TCTTATGGGGAAATTGGATTCGCTTTACATCATTTTGCTTAAAGTTACATTTTTCAGGATCATAACTACAACATTAAGCAAGGAGTTACTGTATATTGTTTCCCCAAATTATTGTGAATGCCAAAGATAACCTTCATATAATCTTAACTCTGTTCACCAATCCATGTACATTACAATATCCTCTTTAATTGCATGATCACTTGCTATTCCTCAAATAATAAATACGTATATTTTAGAACCTTAAGTGCATGCATAGAATCTTCTAGTACTGTGTGTATGCTAAATACACATTCCAGTCATTTATAAGCAAGACATGTGATTAGTAAGGCAATGGTTCCATACACAATACAGTATCCACAGTAAATGAAGTGGGCTTGTCCCGCACAATGTGCACGTTATTCAGTGCGGACTTTGGGAGATAGGGACATTCTTCCATGCAGCTAAATTGATTGCATGGTTGTGAATGCTGTGGTTAAGGTTGAGATGGGTTTTTTAAATTTTAAATGCCACTTGCTATTTTAAAAAGTGTAAAGAAATATTAATTATATGTCATGTACAGAAGACATGATGTTGTGGTATAACTTCTTTCTTGGCACTCATTTGGAATGACCTGCACAACTCTCTCATTGCTTCCTAACTACTGAGTAACATGAGCATCTCACACTTGCACAGACCTTATTATGCTAAATACATCTTTACACTAGACCATATTATCTATACAATTAATTGAAAACAAAAGAGAGAACAAAAAGTTTTAAAGCCCACTGGCATTACTTTTAAACATTGCAGGTGAATTTAGTACTTATAAAAGGACCAGTTCTGCGGGCCTTATGCAGAGTAGCACTTACTCTTGTAAGACATTGTTGACAAATCAGGCCAAAAGTAAGGGACTAAAATCTCTAATTACCATATTTACTGAGTGGCACTAAAGCCCACAGATAGACAAGTGCACCTTAACCTTGACTTTAAACACCCCTGAACGTAGTCCTGTGTCTGTCTTGAGCAGGTATTGCTAGTTATATCAGATTGTGTGGTGGGGAGACAAATGTGTAATGTAGATAAATGGGAATTAGGATGCAGCCAAAACTATTTCCACTTGTGACCAGCACAATATTTTAACCTCTGTTTCTAGACATGAAAGATTAGTGCATTGAACTCTGTTTCATCTACACACCTAAACTAACTTTTAATGTCCAAGTTATGTTCTTGGTATTCCCTTTGATCTTAATTCATCAGTTCTTTATTGATTTAAAATTGAGTGGGTATAGTATCCAATTCGTTAAAAAGTTAATCAGACTGTCATAAATCCTTACGTTCCACTGATTCAAAATGTTTTCATAGTCTGTTGTTTTCATGGAGCTTTACGGATCCATTAAGTTTTAGCCCATTTTCCGGCACCATTAAAAAAAAAAAATCCTGGATCCTACAAAACTACACATGTACTTAACTTATCCACTCTACCAATGGGAATCGTCACAGTACAGAAAGTTAAGCATGTCTGTAAGTCTTAGCAGGAGCCACATTTATGACGCTGTTTTTTCGGAACCGGAAACCTATCCAAAGTTCCTGCAGCAATCTAGCATAGGTGCATATGAGTATTTTTGCTTTTGAGGTCTCCCCCTCTAAATCCCTTTCCTTGTATAGGATGGTGAAAGCAGTTTTGCACACTGTTAGTCATTGTAATACATCTATTTGTGTGGACTTTTTTTTTAAAAGGAGTCAGTCCTACAGTTCTTTCTCAGGCAAAACCTCCGTACTTGTGTTTTCACTTACAGTTCCAAGTCAACTGTGATATATTTTGATACTTTTGCTATGAAAGAGTCTGTACAAAAATAAATTATATACTATTTGCTTTTGCTCTGCTGCAATCTGTGAGTAAAAATATCTTCATTGTTTTGTACAATTTTATATCCGCACAACACTTTATTCCACAACGTTTGTTTTTCTTAACTTAAAGTTTCACTTTGCAAACATTCTATTAACTTCCTCATGGCAATAAAAAACTCCACCTCCTCCTGAGTACAGATCTATCATTCTAGCACTCAAAAAAAGTCTTCAAGGTTTAGAAAACAGTTTTTACTTTCAATTTAAAATCTTGAAAGGGAAGACAGTGGGAAATCGACATAAATGCATAAAATTTTAGCTGTGTGGATCCTTCTACAGAATTGGGGCCATAATGACTTGTCACACGTTGATTGGGTGGTCAATTGAAAGACTGTGCTGACTTTATGGTGAAGCAGCGTAAGGATGTTTGCACAGTATGTGGCCTGTAAATAAATAAAAGACTTCAGTTTTCTGCATTTCAATTAAACCTTGACAAATACAATATATACGACTCTTGACTTCTCAAAAGGAAAGCTCTAAATATCTTATCTAAGCAAAGTGTCCAAGTGGTTTGAAAATAAGATACATCCTTTTATATCTAAAAGATTTAAAAAATTATGAAATATTTCAATTGGGAATCTTGGTATCAGGAGTCATACATTTAAGGAACTAATGCGTTCCTTTCTGATGTTGTGGTGTTAATGATTTACATTTACTACATTTAAAAAAAATGACTTGTTTTATTGTCCAGTGAGTGTCTGGCCCCAGTAGTGAAACATAGCGCCTGACACTAATAGGGTTAAAAGGATCTCCGCTATGTGTACTATGCTGTGCGTTATACCTACATTGCTTATACATTGTTTCCCCCCGCCCTCTTCCCCCAGTATTAGCAATCTGCTTTTGTACTTTGACATCAGGGATTTCCCTAGTGAATTTTGTCACAGAAAAAAGAGAATCATCAATATCGCAGTTAAACTTGACTTTCAAAGCTAATAGTATCTCATTTGGGGGCTCAAATTTAATAAATTTTCTTTGATTCTGGGTGAGTTTTTAAACATCAAACAATGAATTGGCCAGGGTGCAGTAAAATATTTAGATCTATTGACTATGGTTCAGAAGGGTAGAAGGGAAAACACTGGTGGTTTGATGTTGATAAATTCTTAGTACCTTAATCCACATTAATGTTTTCTTTTATCTGTGTGCATATCGGCAACTAAAAGAGCCTGAAAAGTTGATTTATATAAACTATAAAAATTTAAATCAAATATATGTTTAAAATAAGGTGTTTGTGTTATATTAAGCACGGTTAATGTCTGAACAGCATTACACATTCTGACAGAAGACCCTGGAGAATATATTTGTTCCACAGGACTGTATATCCTGAACCTAGTACACTATGTGTGAAAAAACGTATGGCCTATACTGTTATTAAAATTGCATTATAGTGCATATGTTTGGCAGCCACAGGTATTGACAGGAATTCTTTAGGTCAGCCTGGGAAATGTAGAGCTCCCTATTCCTATAGATGATAGCAGAGAATGAAAAAATAACGTATTTTTATCTAACGTGTATCTATAAAATTACACAAACACACTTGTTTAATCACAGTAGATTTCAATTGTTGTGACGCTACATGGAGTACGTTCTGCAGTATAATCAATAGCATTTTAAAAAGTAGAAGCAGTTAAAAGGAGACAAATGCCATCTAGAATTTTAAATCAGTTGGAATATATTTTCATTTAGGATTGATTGGATATTTTAGAAAGGTTTGGCTCTAAGTAAGAGAAGTGGCCCAAATTTATATTTGTAAATAGTGTTGGTAAATGGTATGTTCTGTCATTTTATTATTCCCTTCTAAAACTATTCATTGACAATAAAAGTCAATAATGATCTTTGCCATGGTAGCTAACCTTATGTAACAGATAGAATGTATATCATATTAGTATATAATATAATTAAATTCAGTTTAATTACTGGAATTTTATTTTGCAAGATCCAAAAATAGTGCAAGATTAGGAAAAGGGCAAATTGATAATTACCTTTTGTATCAAATAAAAATGGAAAAATTGGGTGTGTACAGTTTTTACATGTGTTCTATGTGTAATATATCAAGTACGGTATATAGTACACACAAATAGACACTTACAAAATATAATTATACTTTTAGTATGTGGGGAAAAGCTGATTTTAGTTAATGAAAGTATTTCATATTAATATGACACAGTAACATGTTTGGATATTTAAAGGGGAAAATATTCATCATATTTATATAGCTGAGATGTATTTTTATCATTTTCATGGCATATAAGTTTGTATAATGTATTAAAAGCAGTTTTTTGCTTAGCCAGCAGATGGCAGTGTGATACCAACTGCATATGGTTACATTTGTCAACATAAGTAGGACTCTTTCACATGTATATTTTTTGGGGGGGATGGTTGGTTATTTTGTTTAATTTTTACCTTTCGCAATCCTTAAAAAAATCAAACTATCTAGGTTTTGTATAAATGTTACTGGTTTCCTTTTCCTTGTTTAGAAGGTGTACAGCTAAGTTAGCTAATACTAATATTTATTAGTTTCTTTATGTGAATCTGCCGTAAGAAATCTAACAGGCTGTGCAATTAACAGAAGAAAAAAATCCTGCTACAGGTAGATTTTTATTTTTGTTTTAGGAAGGATTTTAAATGTTGTTCTGGGGCTTAATTAAATTTGTACTATTGAACCCCTCTACGATGTGAATATGATCTCTACACAGCAGTCAAAACTCATTTATCATCTCTTTCTTATGTGTTGTTGCACAGTACTTTATTAATAGTTGATGATTGTTGGATGGAAAGTGTAATTACTGCCTACAATTTTTGTTTTCTTTTGTGTTAGGTGTTTTAGGAGGGATGGATCTGTAAAATTTGTCCACCAGTTGGAGTGAAGCCCTCAGTGACTCTTCTTCCCTTCTCATTTCAGTCCAGAGGAGGATGCTTTTTCTTCTTAGCATTCTCTCCCAGCACTCTGAATTAGAGATTTATTTGCAACGAAAAATCAATTAGTCCTAAATTTATTCATGGATTTCAGGTCCAGCGATCAATGCAAGTCCACTCAGTGGGCTCAAGGGGACCCAGTTCATCCCAGTTAATGTGTCTGAAGGGGAATTACCATTGATGCTGGGTTTTTTTCCCTTTAGGTCAGAGATCAGATCTCGCTGTCACGGACTGCGGCAACCAGGAATGACTTCACCCTGCAGCTACCCAAACTGCACCTGGAGACCTTTGCAATGGAAGGGCTGAAGGGCGGGCCAGAGGTTGTAGCATTTCAGGTTAGAGTCTAAATAACCTTTTTTTTTGCAACTGAGACGTAGAGAGAAACAAAACTGCTTTAAGTGGAGAGAATAAAAGCTTCAAAAATGTTGTAGTCAACAGCTAAAAAGAAAAACAAACTAATGTCCTTACATATCTTTGAATGATATAATTCAGAGACTGTTAGGAGCTTTTAATATTGGAGATGAAATATTAAATAAATGGAAAAAAACAATTGCCACAGAAAAAGATGTAAAATGTTATATTTTATTGAAAAGTGATGTTGGGAAAAGCTGCTTTCCTATTTAATTTAACCTGAACATGACAGAAGAATAAAGAAAAAATGTTTCCCTGCTTCTTATAACTGTTTAAGATTTTTTTTCTTTAAAAATTAACAGAGATTACTGGAGATTTAAACTGTCAAAGAATCAACATTTTTAGAGCAATACTAATTTAAGTAGAATTGCAGTTTAGAATAATCAAGCACAGAAAATATTTTGTACTTGTAATCCCTGGTTTTAAAGACTGGCACGTTTCCATGTCTACAGAGTATTAATTCATTGGAGGGGAACAGTGGAGGAAAAATTGGTTTGAACTAAAGAAGGACCCCACATTCAACTCTAAAAAATGGACTCTGTGTGTTTTAGCTTATGTCTATTTATGCACACATTATCCCTTACCCTTTTTATAGCCATTCAAAATGACTTCATTCTTGTGCCACAGTATTGCTAAGGGCAGAACATTTTTTGGTTTTGATTCAGAGAATGGAGAAGACAGTGAATAAATATTTCTTTCACTGTGCTCTTGCTATGTACGGAAAACTGAAGTGTGTTAACTTGTGTGCAAATTGTAGGAATTTTCACTTCATATGTCGCACAGTGGATGTATGCTTCCATTTTATTCATTTTTAAAACGAAGTGAACTGGGTATTCCGTAAAAGGTATGCCACTGAAGTGTGAGGGTTGCACACCTAATCACATACATTCAGGAACCACAGAATTAAAGTTGAACACTCATTCTAATATCTGTCCTCTTGCACACATGCATTATGATATGATGCAGTTTTTAATCATGTAAAATATATAATATACAATATTTTTTGAATAATACAATGCAATATGATCCACTTAGGTTTCTTTACAAAGTTAAATTCAAATTGATATGTATTTACTCATTGGAAGGAGGTGGGGAGAGGATAGAGCTGTAGAATAACCTCTCCTTAACTCAGTGGTGGTCATTCTTATTCACTCCTGTGTCTAAGAGTGAGATTCCAGAGGTAATGTGTCCTAGAAGAGAAAGCCACGTAAAAACAAAACAGCAAGGCTGCTGCCTTTCTAAAGCTGCTTCCTCATGGCTCTCTAATCTGGTAGCCTGGTGTGAGGCCACCTGTCTTTTCCTTTTCCATCCCGTGGCCCTGGTAATGTTGCAGAAGCTCTTGCAAGACAGCCTGTCCCTTCGTCCTCTTTAGGGGATGAGGATGAATAGGAATGTAAGAAACTGTATTTCAGGACTTCACTGAGTGCCAGGGAACTGGACTAGTGCACAACATGGCTGAGTTCCCTGAGTGGCTAACTAGTGGTGTGATTTCTCTCATGTACATTGCTTCTGCCCTTGACAGCAGCAGTAGCATCTGGTTACTTTGCATATAGGTAAACAGCAGACATGGTCTACAGTTTATTTAAGCATGAATTTCCAAGGATTTTCTTTGTTGCTGTGTTTATTCTGAAACAACTACTTATAGCAGTACTTGAATAGAGCATATTATCAATTATATTTTCCAAATATTTACTTTATTTAAGAATTTCCTTTATGATGTTGGGTGCCTGTTTAGCTTAGTTTTAATTTCAGCACATGGAGTAAATGTATGCAAAATGTGCATCTAAGGACCCTGTCCTATGGTCTTAAGTTATGAAGTATCTTTACTCATGCAAGTAGTCCTATATGGTATTAAAATCAATGGGATTATTTGCATGATTGGTCCCTATCACTATTATAAATCTATTTTACATTGTATTATTAGGTAAATGTCATGCAATTGTGTAACTAAAGCATGCATTATATGCAAATGTTAAAAATGAGCATTCAGCCTCAACTCTAAATGCATTGGGTTTTGTGCGTTTAATTTCTTGCACAGAATTCTTTCATTTTCTTTTAAATTCAAAACAGGAAAAAAACAGAAATGTGTGACAGGTATAGCTGTAGCCATTGGAATCAGTGAATACTGACCCCTGTTATGTGATGGGGAACTAAATTTTTTTAAATCTGATCTATATCAAGTGACTGGGATCCATAAATAAAGTTCATCCTCTAGCCAGCACTCCATTGTATTGCCCCTGTATTGCATGTTTTGAAAAGAAAACAAAATCTTTGCAATAAAGTAGCAAATGCGTCTACCTGAATCCCTCCCTCTGTAAGGGAACCTGACAGAGAGCTAGGGGAGTTGATCATAGTGCTTCCAAATTTCCCTGAAAGCAAGTGGTATTGCAGAGGAATCGGAGAGGCTGAAATCCTCCATGCTTGATGTATGTGGTGGGCCCAGAGGCATTAGAGATCTATAATGCATTCCAGTGGGAGTATGAAAGAACTGCAAATGCTAGACAAAGTCATTCAGAAATTTCAAGAATACTGTGCACATATGAACGTCACTTGAAAAAGGTACATTTTCTTGACAAGAAATCAACTGCCAGGTGAGCCGCTCAAGCATTATGTTACATGCCTACATAGTAAAGCTAAGTTGCTTGAATTTGAACAGCTAACCGATGAATTAATTAGAAACCTAGTTATTTCTGGCATAACTGATAACTAAGTCCAAACCAGAAGAAATTTCTTGAAAGAAAATGGACTGAACTTGCAAAGAACAGTGGATATTTACAGGGCTAATGAAAATCTGTGTTTCCCAATGGAAAGTGTTGTTAAAGTGTGTGAGAACTGAAGCGCGTCTAATCAAAAATGCATACCATGGCGTAAAGACAAAATCCATGGGTAAACAAACAGCAGCGACCAAAGGGCCCGTGTTCCTCAACCCGAGACTACATGAAATGCTTAATGAATTGCAAAAATACATATCAAATGTGCAAGCTTAACAAGGAGCTTCTTAAATTTGACGTGCTTTCTAAAATACCCCAAACAAGGGAAAATAAGATGATACATTAAGGGGAGTCTGCAGTAATTATGGCCACCCATTTCTCGAACAAAACTTGGCAAGCTGAAACAAGAATGACAATATGAACCCATCATTACAACAGCTCGAGAGAGATATTCAAGATGGGTGGTCAGTGGAAAAAACCCAGTTACTTCTGCAGCCATGGAAGATAAGAAGAGATCCAAATGTGAAACTTGCAATGAATACAGGAAACAAGATGCAAAAGACCCATTAAAACAACGTGATAGCCCTAGCCAAGACTTTACCAAGGTCTATTTGAATTAAACTGGAAAGAGAATCTTTTGCTAGGGCCTACTACTCACTTTTTTTTTAATTGAGCTGTCGCACTACATATCAAGTAGCAATGTAATAACCTATCATAAAATCACAGTTTCCTGAGTTAATAACACACATTGGCCCGCAATGAAAAGTGACTCGTTTCACCAGTTCTCTATGAGGTATCACATCAAGCATACCATGTGCAGGTGTTAATATGCAGAACCAGTACTAAGAGCATGGCCTTGATTTTAGAAAATCAAAACCATCCTTGTCACATCAAAGGTATACATGTATAGCGTTGTCTCAACACATCTCACAATACTTCATTATGATCATGAGTTCAGAAACTCACATGCAGAAGGACAAAGCCAATATCAAACAAACCAAAGTCAGTTATTCCGGACATAGTTAGAAAAGAGCTGTATGCCAAAAAGGTAGCACAGGAGAAATACAACAAGCAGTCAAACATTTCCTCCCACTCACAATTGGGATAAGTATTAGATCCCAAATAGAAAGTGTGCGACAACTTGCCAAATTAATAGCTTGCCACTTAGAGGTTATATGTCCTGGCCACCCTTAGAGATTGGCCCTACCAGAGGAATACAATACATTTAAACAAAACCAAGGAAGATTGTGGCTCTGTTTATTGAGAACATCCTGAGTGCTAATCACACTGTTCCTATGCAGACCAAGGTAAAACATGTTCACCCAGTCACCGACAACAAACATGGACTTCAGTTGTCAGATCCCCATTAACTGCCGAAAACTCCACTGCAGAAGAAACTAGTGGTATATGACCATGTGGTTAGACAGCCATTGAGGTTCAGAGAATGGTAGTTGCTGACAGATGTGCAATTAGAGACAGACTAATCCTCTCATCTGTCAGGGGATCTATGTTGACCTCCATCTTAGAAGTCAGCATGTGCATGTCTTTGTAATTACTTCTATTAATTTGTGGCTGTTGTTTTTATTTGGTATTATATTTTATTTGCATTTTTTTTTTCTTAAAGAGAAGTCATTGGCCACTGAAGTCAGATACTGCTGTCTGTCATGTCATAGTGGCCGGAGTTTTTTGTAACCCTATCTCATGCTAAGTGATTAGATCTAGGAAAAACCTTTCAATCTCTTATCATGACTCCTATGTATAGCCCTTTTATTACAAGGAGAGTAAAAATATTAGACAGAAAGAGAAATGGAGAAAATGTGGCACATGCATGAATGCTCCCATATAGACATATGCAGTCTGTGTCTACTGTGTGGTGTGACTAAGCTTGAATGATTGTGTGTGGTGTGTGCGCACAGGTCAGTTGGAGTGTGGTTAACTAGGTGTATCATCTGTGTCTGAATTGGAGGCTCTGAATGTCTGGGCTTTATGTGGGGTTTGAATGAGTACATGCATGTTTGAAACTGTTTCACAGTGAGTGAGAAAAGATATGGTATGTAAGGATGAGACAGGCTTCTATGAGAGGATGAAGTATATATTTCAGTGTGTCTTAGTTTAAATATAGAGCTTGTGTGTGTAAAGATGAGTGGATTCTTCTTTGATTCATTATTGAACCATTCCCTGTATGGTGTTGGGGGATACTGCTGCTTCATGTG